CACTTCCTCCCTGCTCGGCCCCTCCTAGAGAGCAGCCCACCCAAGGATGTCTATGTCTAAAGAGGGTGGAGGGACCAAGGACATCCAGAACACTACCCCCCACCCTAAACCACACCCTGTGTATCTGAGGCCCTCAAATTCCTTCCCCAGGTGGTGCCAAGCCTTCAGTTCTCAGACAGACAAGTGTCACTTAAGTCAGAGCCATGCAAGAGGTCAGCTGCTCTGGGGTTGAGTGGCCAGAGTGCCAACACGTAGGTTAGGGTGTCCTGGGCTCGCTGTGGGGTGGGATGGAGCCGGGGGTGGAAGGGGGAGAGGAGCAGGTATTGTCCACGCTACCACTTTCTGGCCCAGAAGTCCTAGAATTCTCAACTCAAACCTAGCTCCCAGCTCATTAAGAAGGAATGTCAGCCAAGGCAGGAGAGGCAGAGCGTAGTCCAGGCTTGCAGCACTGCCATTAGCTGCGTGGGACACTTCTGTCCCAAGTCTCCCAACTCTTGGGGGCTGGCTGGCTGGGGCCACGCAGGAGCGGTGGTAGAAACTCTGATTTTCATGCCCGATGTCCTAGTTTTAACGTGTTGACAAATCACAATGATAATCACAACAGACACCGCCACAGTGGGGTCCGAACAGACGCGCTTGTGCCAGTTGAAGGTTGCGGGCTGCTGACTTAGAACCTGTGCCCTGATATGGTGACGACATGTAGTGCAGGACCGAGCTTTACACCCACATCTCCTTCACAGTCAATCCCCTCAGTGCTCCTGCGAAGATGGTACGACGGACCCACTTCACGGGTGAGCGGGGACTAAGGTTGGGAGGGGCTGAGGGGCTGGCTCCAAACTGTAAGACGCATGCGTACTGGTGCCGGAATTTGAGCGGCAATGTCCCAGCCCAGCTCGTTCTTGAGGCACCGTTTCAGCCAGTGTGTACTGGGCTCTCAAGTCCTGACACCATATCAGGTATTTAATTCTCAAAGCGATTCATGGGTGAAGGAGCTGAGGCTCCCAAAGGTCAACGAGTAGCCTGAAGTCACAGGGTCAGTCTGGGTTGGAGCTGGCCGGAACCAAGGTCTCATTGCTCTGAGCCAGAGTTCTGTCTTGAGGAGGAAAAAGACCAAACAAAAAGAACTCTGTTGGGAAGGGTCTGCCCTCAGCCGCGAGCAGACGAGGAACAGAAAGATCCTTTTCTTGGCAGCTGTTTGTGCACGTTAGAGCCTTGGGAGCCGCAGCCCGTGCTCAGAGGTGGTGGTGTGAGGCACGGGGGTGGGGGTCCTGCAGTGCTCTTTGGATTAATCGGTGTAACAGGAATCCACTGTCAACATCCACATGGACTCCGTCATGAGACCGCAGGTGGGTGGGGTTGGGCACTAGAGGAACAGGGTACTTCTGCCATGGCCCAAAGTGCGTGTGTTTACAACAGGTGAGGGTGCTGCCCTGCCAGCAGGGCTCCCCAAATGTCAGATGCAGTGCAGCCTCATGGAACCCCAAGGACCTGGAGACGCCCATCCAGCCCACGTTGACACATCTCTTCTGGAAGCCAAGAGCCAGACTGACGGCATTCTGGGTGGTCGGTGCCAGGCACACTGCTCTCCGCTCTACGTCCATGATCTCATCGAGTCCTCCTTACAGGACAGGGGTGATACACTCCATTTTACAGGTGGGGAAACTGAGGCAGGGAGAAGTGATGCTCCTGGCCAAAGGCCACATAGCTCCTAACAGGAACGCCCCTAACCGGCAGTCCTCAAGGTCTGTCCTCTCGGCCACAGAGGGCTCCTGCCTGCTTTTCAAGGGCAGTGCCTGGTCAATTCCCCAGCCGTCCCTTACATTGGAAAGGATGCAAGCACCTGGGAAAGTGGACCAATCAGTTCTGGGAGGGTCAAGGGAGAAAACACTTGGACGTGTGTGGCACAGTACCGGTCGTACTGTTTCTGCCCAGAGGTTCTGCCTGGCTCTGCAGGGGCTGGGACGGCCTCCCTCCAGCATACCCGGAGCCCAGCCTATGGGGACTGCTGCCACCCTCGACACTGTGCCCTCAGCCTCACAAATCCCCCACCCCGGAGACCCCGCTTAGTGCCACCTCCCCTCCAAAGCCCCCTCTTAGTCCCGCTTTCACCTCCAGCGTACCCCATCCCAGTTTAGCTCTCTTTGCACAGACCCTTCTGGGCTTTAGTAACTTGCTGTCCAGACCTCTGTTTTGGCACTTGTTTGGGGTGTAATTACATGTTCACAGATCTGTTTCCCATAACGAGATTGTCTGAGGCCCAACATGCCTTAAACAAAAACAGGCAGGGAACGCTGAGGCTGGCACGCTACAAAGAGGCCAAGTCCCAGAGTACTCCGGGCGTCGAGTTGCCTACACCATGCACCCACAAGCCAGTGGGCGTGACAGGAGGTTTGCTTAGCCCTTTTGGAAGCACAGCATAGAAGCCCATAAAAAGTCCAAATGATCTTTAAACCCTTTAGTTCCACTTGTGGGAAGCATTCCTAAAGGAACATTGACGAAAACATGAACAAAAGTGTTATTCTCAGATAGGGCCGGGGATTTAGCTCAGTGGTTCCACTGCCTGTTTCACAAGCACAAGGACCTGAGTTTGATCCCTGGTACCAAAAGAAAACAAACAAACAAACAAACAAATCTCAGAACCACCTTTGGCTTCTCATATTAAAAACAAAACCAAACCCCCTGATAGTCTAGTCATCTAGAGAAACCGTAATGCCTGTGAGTGACTAAAAGTTGCTCCTGTAGTTTTCTGATGTCATTTCATCTTCGCACACAAACTGGTGATGTAGGCAGCATGGAGACTGCTCTACAGTGGCCCTGGGGGCTCCGAGACCAGGACGATGGGACCAACCATGAATTGCTGAGATCCCCACGCCAGGCCCATGGCTCAGGAGTCAGGACATTATCTTGGTTCCTGCTTACAGCGGCCCTGAGTGTAACTGCTCTTGACAGCCTTCCTCCACCAGAAAGGGACCGGGACCCAGGAGGTCTGTAGTGTACCGGCAGCCACACTCCTGCCTGACCCACACTCTTGCCCTCTACCTTCCTGCTGCTGTATCCTCATCACCCAGCAGCCAGTGGCAGAAGAGGTGGAGGACAGGCGGGTCTTCCAACCAGGAGACACCATTCCCCATGTCAAAGACCGGGACCCACAGCGGTTAGGTGCTGAGTGGTGTCTCCCCAGCAGATGCCAAGGTCCTCTCTCACAGTGCTTGTGAATGTGACCTGTTATGGAAACATGGTCTTGGCAGATGATCAGGTTTGAGTAGAAGCTAGTTATTTATTTATTTAGTTTTGGTGCCAGGGATCAAGCTCTGGCCCTTGCCCTTGTGAGGCAGGCAGCGGAACCACTAGAGCTAAATCCCCGGCCGGATGATCAGGTTTGGATGGGGTGGTTACAGTGGGCCCAAACCCAGCGTAACTGGTATCCTTACAAACGGGAATTTGGACACAGAGACAGGCATGCAAAGAGCTACGGCAGTGTGAAGACACAGGCGGCACTGCCAGGTACAAGCCGAGGAATGCTTGAGGGTAACCGTGTGTCAGGAAAGGTGCCTGAGGCCAGATGGGCTCACAGCCCTTGGATGGAATCAGCTCTGCCAATATCTTGATTTTGGATTCCTCACCTCCAGATGTGGTAATAAATCTCTGTTGCTTAAGCCACCCAGTGTTTTAATCTGCTAATGGAGTCCCCGGGACACTCATACAATTATTAGCAATGCAACAGTAGGAAAATGGTGGTGACAGGGGCCACGTAAAGACGCCTGAAGTGCAGATGATGTTAGAGAGAAAAGCAAAGGGCAGCGCAACAGTAAAAACACACTGGGCCAAGAGAGGACAGCAGCAACACCAACATGCTGTCCACTGGCTTCATCCCCATTCTTCCAGAGTTTCCCAAGTTTACACTTACAAATCTTATGAAACTGGCTTAAAACATGGCATTTAAACCACAGGAATCTGGAGGTCTATGAGATCATGGGCTGTGTCCCCTCAAAATTCTCATGTTGAAGGAATTCAATCCCTGGTGATTGTAAATGTGGCTATACCTGAAGCCAGGACCTTTAAAGCGGTATCAAATAAGAATAGAGTGGTTAGATGGGCCCTCTTCAGTACGCTGGATGCCCCTACAAGGACACAGAAAGACAGTGGACACAGGTGCGCACAGGGGAAAGACTACAAAGGCAGAACAAGAGGGCAGCCATCTGTAAATCAGAGAAAGAGAGAGGCAGGGCCGGGGATTTAGCTCAGTGGTTCTGCCACTTGCCTTGCAAGTGCAAGAACTCCAGTTTGATCCCTGGTACCAAAAAAAAAAAAAAAAAAAAAAAAAAAA